CTACTTCCGTAGTGATACTGCCTCGGAAACCCAAGGAGGGGTCGCTATGAGTCAGGTATGACTTGACGGCACATAACAACAACAACAACAACACAATGGGAGGTCTGGTGGCGTAGTAGCTAAAGCACTTGACTGCTAACCAGAAGGCTGGCGGTTAAAACCCACCAGCCACTCCTCGGAGGGAAGGTTGGGCAATCTACTTCTGCAGTGATACCACCTCGGAAACCCAAGGAGGGGTCGCTATGAGTCGGACCTGACTCCAAAGCAGTGAGTTTGTTTTTTTTTGGTTTTTAGTGGTGGGCATCATGGTATCTCATTGTGGTTTTGCCTTGCACCTACCTCCCAGAGACCCTGGGTGCCACAAATGGTTGTAAATGCTCAACAAGTAACTGAAAGGTTGGTGGTTCAAACCTACCTCCAGGTGCCTGGGAAGAAAGGGCAGGCAGTCTGTTGTGAAAGGCCCCTGTGGAGCACAGTCTGGTGGGCAGCATAAGGGGTCTCCATGAGTCAGCGTCCACCCATGGCACCTGTAACAGCCAGTGATGGTGGGCATCTTTCATGTGCCTGTGGGCAGTTTGCATTTCCGTTAGTGAAATCCTTTGTCTCGTCTGTTCGGATCTTTACCTGTCATTTGATTGGATTGTGCATCTTTTTCTTGTTAAGTTGTAGGAGTTCTTTATATATCCTGGATGGTATTCCTTCATGCGGGATGTGGTTTCCCAGTTTTTCTCCCAGTCTGTAGGTCTCTCTCTCTCTCTCTCTCTCTCTCTCTGTTCCCAGGGGTTTTTCTTTTTCTTGTTTGTAATTTGGGTGAAAATTTACAGAGCAAATTCACTTTCCATACAGCAGTTCACATACACTTTGCCTCACGACATTGACAATTTCCCATGATGCAACAGCTCCCCTCCCACTTCTTCCCGGCAGTCACTGCTTCCCTGTGTCCATCCCTCCATGCACCCCACCCCCTGAGCTGTCTCCCTGTGCATAAACAGCTGTTGGTGTGTCTTTGCTTTGTTAGTAAATGCTTTGTTGTACAAGAGTTTTTGACATTAATGGAGTCCAAGGTATTCCTTATGCGTTTTGTGACCAATGCTTTGGGTGCCCTATCTCAGAATCTATTGTTAAAAAACGGGCCCCAAAGCAATACCTATATTTTCTTCTAGGAAATGTATGGTGTTGTTTTTCACCTTTAGGTCCTTAATTCCCTTTGAGTTAATTTTCATGTGTGGTGTGAGGTGCAAGCCCAGCTTTATTGTGTGTGTGGATACCCACTTGCTCCAGCACCATTCATTAGAGAGGCTGTATTCTTTCCCACTTGCATGACTTGGTGCCCTAGTCAAAAATCAGTTGGCCGTAGATGCATGTGTTTATTTCTGGGTCCTCAATTCTATTCCATTGATCTCTACGTCTGCTGTTATGCCAGGAACAGACTGTTTTGATCACTATAGCTTTATAATATGTTTTGGAATCAAGACATTTGCATCTTCTTGCTTCAGCCTTCTTCCTAGAGATTTTTTGCTTGTTTGGGCCCCCTTGCAATTCTGTATGAATTTGATGTCTGTTGCATTATTTTCCCTCTCTGTGAAGAAGTTTCGTCATGAAACTAGAATTTTCATCATGATTGCCTTGAGTCTGTAGATCACTGGAGGGGGTGGTGTTGACACCCCAGCCATGTTGACAGTCCACCAGCCCACGAACACAGACTGTCTTCCATTTACTTGTGTTGTTGTTGTTATGTGCCGTCGAGTCAGACCCGACTCATGGCGAACCCTCCTTGGGTTTCTGAGGTGGTATCACTATGGAAGTAGATTACCTAACCGTCCTTCCAAGGAGTGGCTGGTGGGTTTGAACCGCCACCCTCCTGGTTAGCAGTCAAGTGCCTTAGGCGCTGTGCTACCAGAGCTTAAATATATTTAAACTGAGATATATTTCTAGGTATTTGGGTTTTATAGATCATGTTGTAAATGTGTTCTGAATTTCCTTTTCAGAAGGCTCACTGCTGGTGTACAGAAACCAAACCCGTCTTGTGTGTGTGTGTGCATGTGTATAACTTTCCAGGAAACAGCAGAGCTGTCATCTGGAGGGTTCTCCTAGGCCCAGTGCCTCCTCTCCCTCGTCTTCATCCTCACCCTGCCCTGCATGAGACTTTGGCCTCTTGTCTTGCACACCTCAGGCCTGCTCCTTCCTCGGGACCACCCCTGCCCTCTCGTTGTGCTCACAGAGGCCTGCTCTGTCTTAAAATTGTCTCTGGGAGTCCACGCTGCTCTGTCTTATGCCACCAACCACACCTGCCACCCTCCACATCACTGTCTGCCTCTCTCCACCACAATGGGGTCCCTGAGCACAGAGTTTTGTTCATGATGACCATCAAACACCTCGAACGGTTCCTGATATGTTGTAAGGGTGCAATACGTGTTGTTGCATGACTGGCTATTACGCACATTCGTGGGCACTGGAGACACACACCGTCCTGACACCCTGTCCATTTTTCAGCCCCCAAGAGCCGGCGCAGGCTGTGCCCTCCTTCCCCCACCCTGTGTCCACTGTGGAGCTGAGCCCGGCCCTGCCCTCCAGCCAGGTGAGGCCTTGCTACAGGTACCTTGGGCCCTCGGCTGCCTCCTCAGTCCCCAGTGCCTGGCAGAGGAGAGGCGTAGCTCAGGCCTTTGGAATGAATCAACCAGGCAAAGAGGGAACCGGGTGGAGGAGAGGACTCGTGGTTGGAAGCTGGCGAGGTGGGCGCCGTGAGGCGAGGTGGGTGTGGAGCGCCACGGGGAGATGTTTCTTCCACGATCCAGGCTCCAACAGTGGGTGGGACCTGCGCAGTGCCAGGAAATACACTGGGTCGCAAAGGCAAGGCCCTGAAGCCTGGTGGCGGAGCGTGTTAACACTGTGTTTGGTTTTCCAGGTGCAGTGGGCTGATGATGGGCAGGCCTCTAACGATGCCTTTTGGGGAGCACAGATGCTGTTAGAGTTTTCGGGGGGCAGCCTGGCCTGAGCTGCCCCTCGGGAGATCACCAGCACCCCAGGGGGAACAGAAGGGGACTGTCTGGCTGTTCACGACAACACGCTGGAGCTTCATCCTCAACCCAGGAAGGAATTCCCAGGGTTCCTTGGGGGAGGTCTCCCGAGCAACACAGGGTTTCTTGCCCACAACTACAGTTGACTAGTATGGAGGCAATATTTTGAAAATGTTCATGAGATCAGAAGTCAAATGTGGGTTTGCTCCCACTCAGGCAACCACAGACCAAAGGGTCCCGCTCCTGGGACAAGTTCTGGTCTGTTCAGGCCTTTCTAGAGAGGGGAGAACGTTCCAGGGTGACTACCTTTCTGCCTGTCCTGGGACACAAGGTGGAAGTTCCCCACCCAGTTCTCTTTGTTGGTGGCTGCGTTCTGACATTCCTGTGTTCACTGGGGCTTGCTTCCTTGACAACCAGGAGGCAGGCGGGTTGGCGATGGACAATGCAGAGTGGGGTCAGGTAGATTTCCACCTCAGGCTTGATTCATTGTGTTTGCAGTAAACATGTTCAATTCCATTAAATTAAAGCTTTAATGTTTTGAACCTCTCCTCTTTTTCACTCGACTACATACAGTGGGGACTCTGGTGGCACAGTGCCTAAGGCATTTGACTACTAACCAGAAGGTTGGCTGTTCAAACCCACCAGGTGCTCCATGGAAGGAATATAGGGCAATCTACTTCTAAAAACATTTACTGCCTTGGAAGCCCAGTGGGGGTTGCAGTGAGTCAGCATCAACTTGATGGCTGTGTCCTATATACATCTGTCCCTGTCATAGTGTATTATTTTGTTGTTAGTGCCATCAGGTTGGCTCCAACTCATAGCAGCAGGTACAACAGAACAAAACACTGCCCAGCCTTGTGCCAGGCTCTCTGTGGTTGCCATCGTTGACACTGTCATTGCTGCCTGTCTTGGTTCCCTGGTGCCGCTCTGACAGGACCGTACCACCAGTGGGATGGCCTTAACGAACAGGAGTTCATTCTTACAGTTTGGAGGCTTTAAGTCCGAGTTCAAAGTGCCAGCTCTAGGGGCTGGGTGAAAGCCCCTTAACCTTGGGGTCCAGCTCTGCCTCCTGCCCCCGGCCCACTGGAGCTAGAGGCATTTCTTCACTCAGACAGCTGCTGGCTGCTGAGGCTGACAAGCCCAAGGTTGACAAGTAAAAAGGCACAGTGCCGATGTTACCAAACCACACGGCAGGCCTTTAATTCAAGTCCATTGTAAGTCCCAAGGTCAGCAGAGCATAGCAGGCTGCTGAGCAATAACATGGCTACATGCAGGGTCCAAGCGTGCCATAGTCTAGAGACCATTCCCAAGGCTTCTTCTTAAATACAGGAAGCAGACCACATCCCTAAGGCAGCTACTCAGCTGCTTGTGGTAGATCCCACCATGGAGCTGATTGCCAGTCTCATCCTGGGGAATAACTACCATCACCTGCCCAGCCACTCCACCAGGCCCAGCCAAGTTGACATACAAACTGAACGACCACACAGCCACTGTGTCAGTCCATCACATTGAGGGCCTTCCCCTTCTGTGCTGCCCCTCCCCCTCATCCAGCATGACATCCTTCTCCAGGGAATGGTCCCTTCTGACAACATGACCAAAGCAGGTGAGACCAAGTCTGGCCATTCTCGCTTCCAAGGAGCATTCCACCTGCACTTCTTCGAGGACAGATTTGTTCATTGTTCTGGCAGTCCATGGTACTTTCAGAACTCTTTTCCAACACCACGATTCAAAGGCGTCAGCTCTTCTTTGGTCTTCCTTATTCACTGTCCAGCTCTCACATGCATATGGGGCGACTGAAAACACCATGGCTTGGATCAGGTACACGTGACTCTTCAAAGTGCCATCTTTGCTTCTTGACACTTTAAAGGGATTTTTTGCTGCAGATTCTTTTTGTTTTTTTAATTGTGATTTGGGTGAAGGTTTACACAGCAAATTCACTTTCCATACAGGCAGTTCACATATACTTTGTCTCATGACATTGACCACAATTTCCCACAATGCAACAGCTCCCCTCTCACTTCCTCCCCACAGTTACCTCTTCCCAGTGTCCATCCCTCCATGAACTCCTTCCCCCTGAGCTGTCTCCCTGTGCATAAGCAGCCCTTCTTTCTCCCATGATTGCTCTCTCCAAGGAGTGTATCTACCTCAGGGAAATGTTCAACTCATATGCCTGTCTTTTGTTTGGCTGGAAACCACAGGTGTGGGTTCAATTCCAGACCTGAAGGGCAGCTAGGGGCCATAGTCTCAGTGGTTCCACCAGGCTCTATTGGGCCAGCAAACCTGGTCCCCCCCCCCTTTTTTTTTCTCCAAATGATTTTGAGTTTTGTTCCACATTGTTGTCCCTCTCTATCAAGGATCTCCTAGATAGATTCTCTTCCAAGTGGTTGACAGTAGTAGCCGGGCACCATCTAGTTCTTCTGGTCTCATAGTCGTATAGGCTGCAGATCGGATGGTGTACCAGTCGCTAGGACTGATTGTTTCCATGAATTTTGGTTTTCTTCTTTCTTCTTGGCTCTGGATGAGGAGAGACTCATCGTTGCATCTAGATGGCAGCCTACTAGCTTTTAAGATCCCAGTCACTACTCGCCACAGTAGGAGGTGGAGCAATGTTTTTAGTGTAGTGTGTTATACCACTTGAGCCTGATGACCCCTGCTGGAGATCTCGCGTTGCAATACGATGTCGGATTTCCTGACTGCTGCTCCCACGGGTGTTGACTGTGGAGCCAAGGAACACGAAATCCCTGACAATGCCACATGTGTTTCCATTTGTCATGACATTGCTTATTGGTCCAGCTGTGAAGATTATTCTTTTCTTGATGTGGAGGTGTGTAATCCACACTGCAGACTTCAGTCTTTGATCTCCATCACTAAATGCTTTGAACGAGCAAGATTGTGTCATCTGCATTCTGCAGGTGGTTTTATGAATCTTTGTCCAATCCTGATGCCACACTCTTCTTCATAGAGTCCAGCTTCTCGGATTATTTGCTCAGCATACAGATTGAATAAGTGTGGTGAAAGGATTCAACCCTGACCCACTCCCTCCCTGATTTTAAACCATGCAGTATCCCCTTGTTCTGTTTGAACAACAGCATCTTGGTCTATGTATGGGTTCTTCATGAGCACAATGAAGTGTTCTGGAGTTCCCATTCTCAATGTTACCCACAATTAGTTATGATCCACACAATTGAATGCATGTTAATACTCAATAAAACAATAAATCGACATCTTTCTGTTATTACTTGCTTTCAGCTAAGATCCATGTGTCACTGATGATGATGCTGCTCGTTCCGTGTCACAGTATAGAGACCTTTTAATCCCCAGCTAGCAGGTCATGACTTAGGTGTGCACTGATCAATTGATGTATTAGCACCTTACACCCCATACCCTTCTGAGATGCTTCACCAACCAGTCTTTGGTTGAGTGTCTGGAAAATTGTCCCAAGTCATCTACCAGGAACGCAGACCAGCCACAGCCTGGAGAGGATGCCTTGGGGTGGTCACTGTTATCTGTATTATCATTCCTGGTGGTGGTAGTGGTGGCCATGACATTGAGTAAAGTTTCCCCATTCACAGAGAACTGGAGATGATGACAGGGGTCTCCTGCATTCCCACTGGATTCATGCTTCTTGGATGAGGCTCTGGAACTTTCCAAGTTCCCATGAGGAGGCTGGGGCTGGTCTGTGCCAACCTGAGGGTCTCAATGGGACAGGGAGTGAGACACAAGCGATGGTCTCCTGACATATTTACCACATTGGCCCAGCCTCGGACCGGCCAGGTATTCACAGCAGTAGTAGAGAAGTGGTTATTTTTTCCTGAATGGGGGGACCGTTCACCCCTCAAGTGAATGCACTGCTGCAGAGTGTGTAGGCATGTGTGTAGACGCATGTGCAGACGAGCAGTGAGCCCCGGGGAACAGAGAGGTGTGTAGACATGTGTGGGTAAGCAGTGAGCCCAGGGGAACAAGAGGTGTGTAGACACGTGCAGACAAGCAGTGTCCCCCAGGGGACTGGGAGGAATGATCAGAAGCTCTGGTTCCAGCTTGTGTGACTTGTCAATCATCCCACATTACTACATACAGTACATAGTCTGTCTCCTGGTCCTTGGAAAGCTGCAGATGTTTCTGTCGTGAATAGAACAGTGTACCTGCAGGAGGTCTTGTTGTTGTTGTTGTTAAGTGCCGTCGAGTCGTTTCCGATCCTTAGGGAAAACCAGAAAACTACCTTAGGGTTGTATCCGGAGCTGGGCACAGTTCTCCACACTTGATGACTCCAAATCTTCCATGTCCGGAAGAACACTTGTGGTCCTTTTCCCATGGGCGTGCCTCTGTGGCTTTCCACATCATAGAGAGTGGCTACTTTGGGCATGTTGTCAGAAGGGAGCACTCCCTGGAGAAGGCCATCATAGGCGGTCAGGCGGACGGTTCGTGAAAGGGGAAGGCCCTCAACAAGGTGGATTGACACAGTGGCTGCAAGGATGGGCTCAGGTCTAGCAAGGCTTGTGACGTTGGCACAGGACCGGGCAGGGTTTCGTTCTGTCGTACAAAGGGTCGCTAGGCGTCGGAGCCAACTCAACACCGCCAACAGCAAAGAGAATGGCTCTGGTGACCGTGTTCTCCCTGCAGCCTCAATTCCTCCACCACCCTCATCCCATATGCAATTCTTGGCAGCCCAGGCCCCAAGCCTGCCCGCGTTCTCACCTGCAATGTCACCATCGCTCCGCACTCTGTCCATTGCACAAGCCTCCAGCCCAGGCCTCTGGATTTGCTGGGCTCACGTTACTCCAAAGGCACTTCCTGGGACCTGTCTGAGAACAGTGTTCACTTCGGGAGCTGTCTTTGTCAATGCCTGCCTCTGGTGGAAGACCGCTCCCCTTCGCACTGCACTCTCTCGGCTCAGTTCCCATCCTGTCTCCGTCTGCGCTGCTCTGATCCTGTGCGCATGTGCACGCTCCGGGGCTCACGGAGACAGACCGAGGAGCGG